AATTTCTTACTCTTTTTTTTTTTTATTTTTTTGTTTCTTCCCTGATCTTTGCAAATGCAGAAATCCATCAAATTCCAGGAATATGGCAAAATCCAGGCTGGTGGTGAAGGGTGAGGAGGGGTGAGGGATGAGTGTGGAAAAGGAAATTTGGGAATGAGGGGAGAGAGTTCATGAAGATTCATAATTTAGGGACAAAATCATGGATAAAACATTAATAATTCTTAACAGGAATCAAAGAAAATGCCATAAAAAATCCCCCAAATGGAGCTGTGTTCAGGGAATTTTATTTTAATTCCCCCTGTAAATAATGAATCATTCCCACATTTTCCTCCTGTTGAGCTCCAGGGGTTATTTTGATACAAATTGTTTTATCCTGGACACAAATCTGAGAAATTCCCGTTCATTTTGGGATCCCTGGATTCTGTTTTCCCTCTCTGCACTGGGAAAACTCCACATTTTTCTATAATTTTGTCACATTTTGCCTCCTCTGTTTATTTTTTTTCTGGTGTTCCCTCTAATTCCAGGGTTGGAATTTTATCAGACGCCTCACAGTGAATATTTCACCCATTTATTTATACAAATGTACAGAATTTACACCTGTTAAAAACAACATTACAAAGTAATAGCCCTAAAAAATAAATAGGTTGCAGCTCAGCATTTCTGGGGGGTTTGGAACCCCAAACTGGTGCAGGGTGGGTTCAGACCCTTTAATTTCCCTTAATTCTCCTTTTTTTTTCCAGGGAGATGCCAGAGGAAGGACAGGCTTGGATTTTATTTTTTTTTTGGGAATCTCCAGAGCCAGGTGGAATTTGCATAGAAAAAAAAAAAGAGATTAAAACTCTTAAATGGGTGAGGAAAGGGCGGCAGAATTCCAGGTTTGGTTGGGGGTGAGAGCAAAAAATAAAAAGTTTATTTTTTTATATTAAAAATAATTAAAAACAGTGGTGAAGGTCAATTTTTATAAAGATGTATATCTCGAATTTTAGATAAATATAATTATTATTTTAATAACTATATATATGATTATTATTTCTAACAATTATATATATAATTATTATTTTAATAACTACAGAAACTTATTATTTCTAATAATTATATATATATATAATTATTTTTAATAGCCTTCCCTGTAAAACTTTCCTTCCCTGGAAAAATCACCTGGAATTAAGTGGGGATCAACTGAACATCCCTGGAAAATTCATTCCCCCAAGGCCACAAAATCCATGAGCAGATTCCTGATTTTCCAGAATATCCCACATGGATTCAGTGACCTGGGGAGCTCTGCAGGAGTCTGAATTTCCTTGTAATTCCCAAAAAAACCCCACATTTTGAGCTTAAAAATACCAGAATTTGATAAAGCTCGAGTTACCTTGCAGCAGGAATAGGAGAAAAAAATGGCTCCTGAAAGAATAATTAATAATTCTTTTAAAAACAAATAATTATAAAAGAGTTTAAAGCAAGTCCATAAGTGCTTTTCTTACTGACTTTGCAAGACAAAGTTGATTCTTTTTTGAAGGTGATGTAAAACATTTTTTATATATATTTATATTTATATATATATATATATATTTGGATCATTTTTACATTACAGGCTCACTGACTTTGCAAACCCTCCCTTTTTCCTGGCAAAATCAGCTTTTATGGAATTTTTTTTCCAGCACTTCCAAACCCTCCTCGAAGTACAAAAATAATAAATATTGCATCCGTGATTTCCAAGGAAAACAAACACCACAGAATCCGGGAAATCAAAATCCCGGGAGATGTTCGGGATGGATTTTTCCTCTTTCAGATTGTGGGCTTTGGGGTTAAAATGGGAAAATATTGGGAATATTCCCCCTAAAGCAGCTGGAATCAGATGAGAGCAGCTCTTCATCCTCCTCTTTCCTCCTGCTGAGGGATGTGGAGCTCAAATCCCGCTGGAAATGAGGAATTTTGGGGATTTCTCTGGTTCGTTTTAGGAATTCCAGAGGTTTTCCGCCTGTCCCGGGGAGCTGCTGCAGGAATTTCCTCTTTTCCAGGTGCTGCTTCCTCGCTGCCAATTCCTGCCCATCCCAGAGGAGCAGGAAATGCCGCAGCCCCCGATTAGGTGTTAATTACCGCGTGTTAATGAGTGCGTTAATGAGCTGGGAAGTGCCATCACTCCCCAGGGGGAGCCCAGCAGTGACACTTCCAATGTCGCTTCTGGCCCGAGATAAGCCCGACTTTACCAGAGTTAGGCTGGGCTTGGTGGCTGCTCCGGTCCGGGTGGGATCCAGAACGATCCCGGGTGATTCCCGAATGATCCCGAATGATCCCGAATGATCCCGAGTGATCCCGAATGATCCAGAACGATCCCGAATGATCCCGGGTGATCCCGAACGATCCAGAACGATCCCGGGTGATCCCGAATGATCCCGAATGATCCCGGGTGATCCCGAATGATCCCGAATGATCCCGGGTGATCCCGAATGATCCCGAATGATCCCGGGTGATCCCGAACGATCCCGAGTGATCCCGAATGATCCCGGGATTAGCGCAGGGCTCTGGGAATTCTTTCCCGGAGTTCCTGCAGGAGACGGGAGGGAAGTGGGAATTTCACTCCCTCGGGGTTATCCCAGCGCCGGGAGGCTGGCGGGGCTCAGCTGGGACAGCGGGGTGCTGGCCCTGTCCTGTCCCTGTCACTGTCCTGTCACTGTCACCATCACTGTCCCTGTCACCGTCGTGTCCCTGTCCTGTCACCATTCCTGTCACTGTCCTGTCACTGTCCTGTCCCTGTCCCTGACCCTGTCCTGTCACTGTCACCATCACTGTCCCTGTCACCGTCATGTCCCTGTCCTGTCACCATTCCTGTCCCTTGTCTTGTCACTGTCCCTGGCACAATCCCTGTCGCTGTCCTTGTCCCTGTGTCCCAACCGCTGTCACTGTCGCTGTCCCTGTCACTGTCCCGTGTCACTGTCCCTTCACTGTCCCATCGCTGTCACTTGTCGCTGTCCCTGTCCCATCGCTGTCGCTATCCCGTCACTGTCCCGCGGCTGTCCCTGTCCCTGTCGCTGTCGCTGTCGCTGTCGCTGTCCCCGTCCCGCGGCTGTCGCTGTCGCTGTCGCTGTCCCCATCCCGCGGCTGTCGCTGTCGCTGTCCCCGTCCCGCGGCTGTCGCTGTCGCTGTCGCTGTCCCCATCCCGC